CTTAAATTAAGAGGATCGTCTCAGCGCTTATTTTAGAGGAAAACATACTATACGTAAGTGGGATATTCTTAAATTAAGAATACAATTTTTTCGGTGTACTTATAAAAGTATAAAGTGACAGAATAAATTGATATTTTTACCTGAAAATTTACCATAATGCCTCTGGTAATATATGTATAAAAGGATATAAATGCGAGATTAGTTTTTTATTAGATATTTATAGAAATTCTCGTATTTAATTAGATTTATTTTTATCGGTCTAAAGGACTATGCCCAGTTTTATAGGGAAATTTGGGCCCCGGAACAACTTTAAGCCTAAAATTTTTAAGTATCAAAGAGAAATTTCACAAAAATTTCACGAGCTCAACTTTATAGGAGAGGTTTCCTGAGTGCTAGAACTATCCAAAGTTCGCTATTATGATCATGTACCACTAGTCTTATCCAATTTCTCTGCGTCCAGGCACCTCCCCGCGGTAACGGCGGTAACGGATTGTATCAAAGATATTGAAGTAATATCTAAAATGTATTTGGTACAGTTCATTAATCCGGCTAAGTCCCTGGTCGCGATTCATGCCGTTATGTCACTCCCGAAGCAGCTACTGGTCGCGATGAGATCCACTGTGGGCAATGTGGAAAATATTTAAAAAATCAGTCACGTAAACATTTGTTGACTGGGGAAGTGCTAGATTTCTTGGGACAAGAGCCTAATAGTTCCACAAGAGCCCCACTCAACACATTTAAATATATATAATATGTCATGCCTGTTGGTGCCATTATAAAAAAAAACATACTGAAATGAGACATGGAAACGTTACAGTTAAAAATACTGAACCACAGTCTCTTTGTCAAATCAATTAAAACCTTTTGTTTCATACTTTGAGTGTCTCTCTCTCCTCTTCATCTATTAATATATATCACTTATAATTATTTATTCGGGGTCCAAAAAAGGTTTTAGTTGTCTTCGTCAAGATTGGACACATTCCAGATACTAGATGATTCGAGAAATCGAATAAAACCAGTCTTTCATGGTACACAATACATGGTCATAATAGCGAACTTTGAACAGCTGTAACACTCAAGGGACTCATTTTACAAAGTTGTGCATATGGAACTTTTTTTATGCTCTACAATCCTAGCTAGGTCTCAATGCTGTTCAACCGAGGCCCAAACTGGGCATAATCCTTTGTATTTTATTATTAGATATCTATATATTAAAATATAAGTTTCTTTTATAA